CACGGCGTCTTTAAAAAAAATTTTTTTTATGAAAAAAAATAATGACTATTATGTTACTTTAAAGTACAAAAACAAAATTTTGAACCATACAATTGTCTCATATCATCACTAATCCGATCTTCAAAATATATTAAACCTTCTTCTGCAACACTTATTGGAGCATCTATACTCTGAAATATCGATAATTTTGCTTCATCCATTTCCTAACATAAAAGAGATTATTCAATATTCATGACAATTAAATGAACGAGAGTTCAACAGAAAATAATAACCTGTTGACTAAATTTCCGATTCATTACCCAATCAATCACTTGTTTATAAGTTTGCAGGGTTTCCAAAGTTTTGGGATCCCGGTATGAAAAAAATGAAAATATGCCGCTTGTGGGGGCGTACATCGCACCACCCCCATATGCACCATTTTTTTCTCGAATTTCACGATGTAAGTAATTTATTTTCATTAAAGATGAAAGAACCTTTGATTTGGGCAAGATAAAAGTTTATAATGATTTGTGTGCATGTAAAGATATAAAATGTAATTCTCGTTATCTATCATGAATGAACATCCTCATTTTTCGAATTTGACCTTAAACTCAAAAATGAGCTCTTATTTGTGATATGCAAATACAAAATACCAAAATACCTGTAATTTAGAGCCATCAGAATGTGTATAAGGTACTCCACGAAAGCATTTCGCAGAAAAATTTACTGCAAAAGGTAATGGGAAAAATGCTTTTTCGGGTGACATCTGAAATTTTGGCTTTAAATAGGTTTAATAATTTAATGATTAATAATAGAATAATATATAAATTTAAGTAATAGAACCGATCATAATTCTTACCCTTTTAATGACATGACTACTACTTTTAGTAGTCTCCGGAAAACTCGGTAAAAACTTTTTTAACATAACTTCATTCTGATTAACAGCTTCTGAACCACAAGTGATTGCAATCCGCAGTGATGGTTTGCTTAGTAAATATAAGGATATTTCCTAAAATTTAGTGAAACAATAGATAAAATTGAAGAATGATATATGCTACGTTAATTTTTTAATAATACTTAATACAATACCTTCAATTTGTCAATAACATTTTGAAAATCTTCGGCTACCGCTAATTTATTCATAAAATAAACTTGTGTCATTCCACCATAAATTTCCGAAATACTCTAAAGTTACACATATAAACATAACTCTCATTAATATAACATCTATTTAACTCTTTAGTATATTATAATTACCATGGCTGGAGCAATTCGTGACGCCGCAAACGTTTTCGCATACATATGTCCAGATTCCACAACAGAATTCATCATGTTGGTTGCATTCTTTAAATTATTGTAAAAGATTAATTTTATAAAGTCGAGAATTTTAAAGTATAATAAATACCTACACCATAAATCATAGTACGCAATTTTTCAATATTATTAAAATTAGTTTCTCTTAAAAGTTGTTGCATAATATCATACATCTGATCTATGTTTCTATCAAGACAATGTGAAGATATTACGATGCCTTCTTCGTATTGGTCAAGGTCTAATGTATATATTAAAACAAGTTACAAAAATGTAGAAACTAGAAGAATTGATCATTTATCATACCGGAATGATTGGTAGATACAATGGGTGATGCACTAATACCGCCAGTATAAAGACGAATGTCGTCATCTATCTCAGCCATGGTTTTTGTTTTTGTTCCTAACGATGTCAACGCCTGATAAATATAAATTTATTTTATTTTATTTTATTAACCTGCATTCGTAATAGCGTAATGAATGGAAAACATACCTGAGCAAATAACGGCATATATATTCTTAATTCATCTGGTAATCCATCAATTTTACTTATAATCTTGAAATATGTAATTCCGTTAGTTGCTGTAGTTCGCCATTGTACAGGACATTCTTCCAAATTACGATGTTCTAATGGAATTCTTCTCATTTCTCGCGATATATCCGAAACATGTAAACTTGGTAAAACCGATAAATCCTCTTTAGCCTCTTGTTTCTTGATTAGCTCAATAGATTGTTCATAAATCTTGTTCTTTTCTTGTTCAGTGAGAACAGAGGTTTTTGAAGATAATCTGGTTTCTTCTTCTTGACTTAATACTTCAGTATATTGTTGATTGGTTTCCATTATGCAGATAAGAGTGTGAGGATTTGTCAAGAAATATTTTTCTACCAAGTTTTGAAAGAATGGTTCACTTTTTATTCTCTCTTTTATTATATCTATATTCTGAAAAAAAAATTTAAAAATTGCTTACATAAATGCAGAATGAAGGAATTAATTTATGAAATTTTTGTAAAAAAAAACCTGATTAATCTCTAAAATGTCAATAGGATTGCTATCATTAAACCATCCCGAACTTATACTGTGCATTAAACTCAAACCAAAAGTAGAAGTTTTCTATAATTATAAAACTTTAAGTAATGTATAGAATTTTTTTTAAAAAAATATATATTTAAGTAGTTTAACCCACATGCTTTTTCCCTAATTCTGTCTGATGAAGAGCTGCTTCAATTCTTTTTGAATCAAATCCAGTTCGATTAATATCTTCAAGAACTTTTCTGATTGTTTGTTCAGCCTAATTAAAGTTAATATAAGTAATAAGTAATATATTATATAAAATAATAACATTAAAGTAGTATAGTATTAATAAAAATATTATAAGGTTTACCAAAGGTACATCTTGTGATTTCATTCCTTGTAATCCAATTGATAAAGAACTTATTCTTAAATTTTATTTGTCAATATCCTTAAAATTAGTTATTTTAAATATAATTTAGAATCATTTTAGTGATTCTTTACCTACCTTGTAGATGAATCATATCCCGTATTTTCTGAAAAATCCGATCCTATGTTTGTGTCAATCAAAGCTTTATACATTGGTGATGCATGGCCATCTAAGAGAAGGTATGCAAATAATCTCAAGGCGAAAGTTTCAACAACATCCTGTTAAAAAGAAATTTAATTTATCTAAATTGATTTATAACAACAAGTTTTATGATTATAAATAAATAAATAAACTTAGAATTACAGTTATGTCATTTGTGAGAAAGGAAACAGACATTTTTATCTGTTTTTCAGGATTATTCACTAAATCCAAAATTGAATTATGTTAGAAATTAATTAAAGTTATAATAATTATTAAAGTAAATTACTTGGATCAACAGGTCCATGAAAAACCATTCTTTGAAGTTTATCAAATGGTCTAACTATTTTAATTCCTTTATCAGGAACTAATTTTTTAAAATCCTTAATTTTATTATTAATAGTCATCAAATGATTTTCCAGTGGAAAGTTGCCTAAATTAATAGTTAAAAATATTAAACTTCATAATTAATTAATCTTAAATGCGATACACACATACCATATGTATAAAACTTTGCATTGCTTGGGTGATAATAAGATTTATGAAAATTTAAAAGTTCTTGATACGTTAAATCTGTGATATTCTTGGGTTCTCCACCGCTATTATATCCATAAATTGTTTCTGGATACATATATTGCTGAACTCGGGAATAGTACAAGTATCCTGCATCTGACTAATATAAAATTTCTTGATTTAATAACATTCCAATGAAAAATAGTAAAATAATATTAATATTAATATATTACCATCTGTCCTTTCATTTCATTATATACAACTCCTTTGAATTGTAAAGGTGTTGTCCTGTCTTCACCACAAAAGTGAAATAAACGTTATTTTTTTAACAAAATTTCCAATTATAAAGTTATTTTATCTTGATATCGATTACCATGAGGAATTTGGTGCTCAAGTCGCCACCCTTCTTGCTTAAAATCTAGTTCTCTTAAATATGGATGAAAAGTTGCATCCATGTAAACATCTCTCAAATTTTCATAGTCCAATTGATGGGTTGTAGAAAATGGGTATATTGTATAGTCATTGGCTGAATTACATATTTTTGATTAAGAAATGCAAAAATTGTTATCTAAATTTATTAATTTAAAATGATCACTTCAAACCTGTAAAAGCATTCATAAAATTCGCCAAGCTACGGTTTAACATTTTAAAAAAAGGATCTCGCACAGGAAATTTCTTACTGCCACATAAGGTGGTATGCTCCTTTTAATATAAAAATTGAATGAAATTAGTATTATGAAATTAATTATAACAAAAAAAAAGTCCAAGTGTTACCAAAATATGCGGAGTCCCACTACTATTCATTGGCGGTGTCGAGAACCCAACACCAAAGACATTATTATCATCATCACGAACTATATGTAAATGTTCTGCGCCAGTAGCTTCATGACGAAGCTGTATCGCTGTAAGCTCAAGTTCTGATATTTGTCTTGTCTACAAAAAAATCGCGTGAGGCATATTTATTATTATTGTGTTGGTAAAGAATGAAAACTTACCTGTTCAACAAGAAATCCATGTATCCGATCTTAAATTATGATAAATTTTAATGAAAACATTCTCTGAGATTAATCATTCTTTTATAAATATAGTATAATGTTACCTCCGCTTACAATAGAATAATTCCTTTGATTAATTATTGGTCGTAGATAATGTTTTTGATTAGTTATCGGACGTACTGCCAATGCGCAGCGTCTGGTAAATAGGGAATTCATTTTTTCTAAAAAGATTAGAAAATCTTTGATCTCGGAACTATGTATGTCAAAAAAAAAAAAAAATCTGGCCAATTAAGTTACAAGATCTTGTGTAACTAAGGGTGAGATGTATTGTACGTACAGTACATAGTAGCAAATTAAAGGATCTTTTCCCATGATGAGTGAATAGTATTTTACAAATGATATTTTCAAATATCGCAAGATTTATCGTTTCAGTAAATGTTATTCAAAAGGTTGGTCTATTATGAAGTAAACGTAATCACGATTTTAGACATTATTGTCATTTCTTTTTATCAATTTATCTAGAGAACGTTTATTAAAAGCTTTAGAAAAATTTTTCAGAGGTATTTTATGATTAAATATACGTATATTCATAACGCTCACAAGATATCTCTCTTTATAAAGGCTTAAAATCTTGTCTAAAACAAAAATTATGGCAAAAGCATATGAATTTACTATAAAAATATTCAACTTAATTAAATCACTTAAAATTAAATTTTGCGTATTTTTGTATAATTTGAAAATAAAACTGTCAAAAAATAACTATTTTTCAATTTTAAAGGTATTATATACAAAAATTATGCTTTGAACAACTACTTAGAAGGTGAAAATAGATTATCTTAGCGAAGAACTGAGTTAGCTATATACTAAAGTTAAAGTTTTCGTTTATCTATATGTAACTCGACTTCTTGTTCAGCATAAATTTTACATTTGTATATTCGTTGAAACGTATTTTCTCAGACTTTTTACTAGTTAAATATAGAACTTTTTTTTAAAGGAAAAATTCTTTTTAATTTTTAATCTTATTTTTCATTCAGTAAAAGGTCTGAGAAAATGCATTTTGACAAATATATACATGTAAAATTTTATATTGAACAAGTTTACTTAAGAAATCAAAATAGGTTATCTTAGTAAAAAAGAGTTGCATATAGATAAATGAAAAATTTTATATTTAATACATGACTAACTTATTTTTTCACTCTTTACCTTCTAAGAAAGTTATTGAGAGTATAATTTTGCATATAATAATGGATTTAAAATTGACAAATAGTTATTTTTGGCAAAGTTACGATTTCAAATTATGCGCAAAAGCAGAATAATTTAACTTAGTTTTTAAGCTAAATTTTTCCTTCTTTTGTTCTATATAATTGCAAAATTAAATTTAGTTCATGTTTTTACTATAATTTTTATTATAGACAACAATCTAAGGAAATGTCCTGTGCCTGATAACCTCTTTAATAAAATTTAATTAATACTTATATAACTGAATTCTCATTACATTGATTAAGAGTTAATTTACCACCAGTACCAAAACAAATACCACAATCTTCTTATTACTTTAATATCGAACGAATTGATGAGTTTCAATGGATGCAAGATCCTAATAAACAAGTAGTTTTATTAAACTTTATAAATATGAGTATAAATATAATATATAATAATTTATTATGATTTATTATAATAGGATGTTCGAGAATATATAGCTGCAGAAAATGAGTTTGTGGTTATTTATTTTATTTAATGTTTATTTTCCGATGATTATAATTGATTTAATGACTGATTTATCGAAAAAATCATAGTTTTACTAATAGAATGATGGTCAACACAAAGTCGTTACAAAGACAATTATTTGTTGTATGATGTTAATGATTTATAAAATTAGTTTTATCATTTCGAAAATTGATGATAATTAAAAATTTTCAATTAATAGGAGATGAAAAATAAGTTGATGACTCCAGGAGCAATATCTCCATTAAAAGTTATATCAAATGGTTATGAATATTACTCAAAACCTTCGAATTATGGCAATATTTATTATCGTCGTAAAAAAGGAAATTTGTCGAGTGAAGTAATTCTCAACATCTTTTTGTAATTCTATAAAAACAATTTTGTAAATACATCATCATAATATTAATGATCTTTTTATGGGAATTACAATAGGAAGTTTTACTGGACTCTAAAAAATTAGCAAGAGAAAATAAACAAATCAAGTCCATATTATTGTCAACTGATGAAAATTTACTTGGTTATTTGGTTGAAAAAGAAGGCGATGAAGTCGGATCATTACATTTTAAAGGTTTATCTAGAAATAATAATTATCAGGTTTGAAACATTTATCTATAAGTTTAGAATTGAGGAATTTATTTTCATATTATATTAACAAGCGATCCTAGTATCGTCCCTAAACAATGTAGCTTACGCCATAATTAAAGCTCCGAATTAATAATGACAACGATAAAGTGCTGTTTTTTAGTGTCTCTTATAAAAACGAGTGCATAGCTGATATAATATATAAACATATCAAATCTTCTTTTTTTCGACCAGACGTTGCATAGACGTGCATTCACTTTGTTTCGTGCGTAGAGGTCCTCGCTACGCTTCGTACAATAAAGAACAAAACAATTGGCAGAATCCTTAAGGTTCTAATATTGTTACAGAGCATATAAATAATAATTTGTCCAAATTTAACGATCAACTCTTTCTATAACGAACTGACGGTTTTGGAAGATCATAAAAATTACTATTTGTTCTTAAGAATCCGTGGCACTCTCTATACCGAGTTATTATGAAATTTTAAATTTTGATTTGCGCTTTGATTCTGAGAATTAATCATGGCGTAAGCTACATTTTTATGGGCGACACTAGGATAACTTATATTAACATTCATAAATCCTTTGGTAGAATGAAATATTAAGCGGAGTTTTTAATTTTTTGTGGGGAACAAATATTCATACTGTTTATTATACTGCTACTGATGAGCAACTCAGGCCCTGCAAGGTAGTTCAACATAACACATCTAAGGTCTTGCTTCGAAATTCATTTCCGTGTTTAATTAATAATACAGTCTTAGGTTTATGCACACAAAATGGGAACATCACAACGGAATGACGTACTCTTATATGAAGAAAAGGATCACACTTCTTTTGTTGATATTACTTGTACCAAAGATCTGGTTTGTTCTACTTGTTCTTCTGATTCAATAATTCCTCCGTTATTTTAATTCATCTTTTTTATAGTCCTTTATTATGATAAATTCAAACACCTTTTCATCATCTGAAGTTTGGTTTTTTGATGCCCATCATGACATGTCTCAGGGTATACCAGAATTAAAATTAATTGAACCGAGGACGTTTGGATTGGAATATTATGTTGATCATCGTGATGTTAGAAGTGCTATTTTTTCTTTTTTTAAGTAATATATAATCTCACACGATATTAATACTTCTGATTTTTTTTCTTCTAAAGGGCTACTTTTACATTTTGACAAATGCTGAAAATTCTCATAATTTTAAACTTGTTCGTACGAGAATAGAAAATCACGGAAAAAAGTATTGGGAAACTATCTTTACTGTTAAAGAAACTGAAAGAATTGAAGATGTTGAATTATTTCAAGTAATTTAATGTTATATTAAGGTTTTTTTCTTTGATTATAATTATTAAGTATCATTTTATAATAGGACTATGCAGTTATATTTGCAAAAAGCGAAGGCTTACCTGTTCTTATGTGTTATGAATTGAAATCTTCTGATGTTCATCAAATAATTTTGCCTACGAACCTGTGTGCTGTTTCTCCAGAAATAAATATTGTAAATATTGTATTTGCAATTATTAATAATATAAAAATAGGTCTTAATTATATGTCTCTTGTCTAGGATTGTAATACAAATATTGTTCGATTTACATGTAATTTGCCTTTGGCTCACGAGACAACTTATGAATATGACATGAAAGCGCGTAAACTATATTCTATAAGATATAAATCAATTAATGGTATTAAATATTTTCCTTTATTTATTTTTGGTAATTCAAATAATTTAACAGGATTCTTTTCTAGGTTTCGATAGTAATCTTTATACATGCTATCGAACACGTGCTAAAGCTTCAGATGGTGCTGAAATACCAATAACTATATTACATAAAAAATCTTTAATAATGAATCACAAGTAAATTTATTATAAAATTTTATTTGATATCTTAAATGTGTGTATATCACATATCATTAAATTAAAGATTTGAAATAGCAATCCAGTTCTTGTAAGGTCTTATGGTGCATATGGTATAACAATAGATCCAGATTTCCAACTTGAACATTTTCCAATGTTGGAGAGAGGTTGGGTTATCGCTCTTGCACATGTTCGGTAATTATTTTGTCATTTTTTTTATAGTGCTTATTTATTTTTTAAATAATACATGTATGATTTATGTACTGGTATGATTATGATTTCGTGTTTTTTTTTTAAAAAAAAAACAATAGCGGAGGATCGGAATTAGGTTATTCATGGTACGACCAAGGCCGATTAATGAACAAAAAAAATTCATTTACTGATTTTATTTCGGTTGTAGAGTATTTAATCAACGCAGGGTATACTAACACATCAAAAATTTCTGCAATTGGTGTTAGCGCTGGTGGTTTATTAATAAGTTAATGAGTTTCATAAAATTATTAAACTTAATTATTTGTAATAATGCATAATATAATATTGACACCTTTTTTTATTTTGATAAAAGGTGCCGCTTTTAACATGCGACCAGGTTTAGTCTATTTGTACCTTCAATAACTTTATACATATTTTCCTTTTCTCTTAATAACTCAAATTTCTTTTTTAACAGACCTTTTTAGAGCATTAATTTTACGAGTTCCTTTCCTAGATCCATTAACAAGTATGCTAGATCCAAATCTGCCACTTACAAAGATAGAATACAATGAATGGGGTAATCCTTTGGAACACGAGGATATATATAAATACATTTCTAATTATGCGCCATATGATAATATCTCTCATGACACAACTATTAATGATAATTTGAAACAATACAATATTGGAACCTCAATATTAGTGACAGCAGGAATGCAAGATCAGAGAGTAAATTATTGGCAAGCATTGAAGTGGGTATCTAGAATGAGAATAAGACAAGCGAAACAATTTTGGCCATATAAAGACAGTAATATTTTGATTCTAAAGATTGACACTGATAAGGGTCATTTTGGAAGTAGTTTTAATAATCAATCTGATAGAATTGGAGATTTAGCTTTTGAACTTGCTTTTTTAATTACTCAAGTTCAATAGATTTAATATTATAACAATTGTTGAATGACTTTTTGCTTTTATACTGTTGAGTTATTTAAATAAATATTAAATCTAAAAACTATTTTTTCTAAAGTTATTTGTATAAACTGTTTATTAAATAATGCATACAAATTTTAATAGAAATTTTGATTGTTAATAAAGAGTATATTCAAGTTTTGATTTTTAAACCAAAGCTTCAAATTTCAATTTTTAGCATCAATTGTAATATTTTACTAGAGATAGAAAAGTAATTACTCATTACAAAAAGTCACATTATGCAATATAACAAATTTCTAATTATATATACTTGCGACAAATAAAATGCTAAACTGTCACGTTAAATGGTGTGACCTTTACATAATAAATAACATATAAAATAGTTATGTATTATTTCATGATTCATCATGGTATATTTTTTAAAAAACCATTTTTTCTAAGTTAATGACAAAGACTTAGTGGTATAGAATGGTTTTAATATTTATTTTATTTCGTTATATTTCTTACTGACGTGGGGTATTTTGATGCACTTGTGTTTTAAACAATTTTAACATTATTTGATTAGTTTTACTGAAATAAATCAAATGATACAAAAATTAATCAATTCTGATCATAGTTTGAGGAAAGGTTAGATGTTATTGTGTCGCTCTTATACTATTTTCTACCTTTCCTATTTAGGAGAGATCAGCAAGTAAATATAGAAATAGTATAAAAAGGGTTATATAAATTAGTATATACTAATAAAAAAAGTCTAAATTGCTGAATGGGATCATTATTGTGTTATGTAAATTAGGCAATTAATTATTAAGAAATTAATATATAATGTAAAGACAATAATAATGAAATTTAAGATAATTCAAAAGAAAATAGGTCAAATGAAAATTTGTCTAGATTAGTAAATATTGCAACTAAAACAACTTGGTTTTATAATAATAAAATTCAAAACTACTTTAAATATTAAAAAACAGATTTCTATACAAAATTTATTAAATTATTATTTTGATATATATAATTTTTTTTGTATTAAAGGTCATACTTTGTGGTGATACTTTATTGACTTTTATTGAATTATTTATTACAACTATTTTATACAAAGATAAGAGTACAACCAGTCACACATGCAACTTTTGGTTGCCTATTTAAATAGTCTGTGCTAAGGTTCTACACTAGATGCTATACCTATAACCTACTAGAAGATTATTTATTTAAACCTTTTGTTCATCCATTCTGTCATAATGTAATCTCAATGAACCTTTTGTATATACCTAACCAATATACTATCTGAGCAGTATGGTATCTATCCTTTTGGTACTAGTTTCTAAGCTGTTATACATTTTAGAATATAACACTTGCCAGCAAGATGCAGAAGGTCTTCTTTGTTACTTACTTATCTACTTTATAGAACATTAACAAAGACTACTCTTGCAGAGTTTATTCAGATTCTAGTACTGACTTCACAGTATATTTTGAGTACTTTTAGTTACTTTTGTTTTAGTTTTCAAAATTTTAATTAGATAACTCAGAAGGACTATGACCTGTCTTTGGCATATTAAGGTTAACCTGATATCTTTTTCTCTAGCCTAAAATCTGATGACCTAATTAGTAATACTACTTATCTGAGATTCTTGCCTATCTAAGTTCTCTACATTAGTATTTATTTACTAGATTTAGTCTTTAGAGTAGTACTATCAAAAATTTGTGCTATCTTTCTATTTAGTATTTTCAAGTAAACTTCAGTTTTTCAGTTCTATAGATTTACACAACTATAAGAACTTATTTTAAGTTTGCATTATCTGGTACTGGTTTGCATTCCTTTATATAATCAAGGTTAAACAGATGTTCTATGCCTGACAGTCATGCTGATGCAACTATAGTTACAGATATCTTATCCCAACTAATTGACAGAATACTATCTTTGTAATACTGTTTATATATTATATAGATGATTATCCAAATTTTTTACTGTCAGTAGGTTTTGAACTTACAATCTACCACTTGAAGGATTGACAACTTATTCACTTCACTAAGTTACTACATATATATTTTGAATATATTAATATATATATTATCTAATAATAAAATTCATTTTTATTTAGAGATATTATCTGAGTTAGATAACTATACAGATCATCCAATCTAATGGATTATGAGTTAAAATTGCTTTAACTTGGTCAAACAGATCAGAATTTAAAAATATATAAAAATTTACTAAAATTCTATATTATACAATTTATATAATATAATTATAAAAATAAAAAACATTATTATTTATTTGGGTCTTTTGACCAATATGGCTTAACTTAATAAAGAGTTATATATTTTGGGTTATAAAAAATAATAAACTCAAATTATAAGTAAGGTTAAAAATTTTTAATTTAAAATCTAGAAATTTTAGTTTAAATATTTAAAATACAAACTGTTCTCTATACTATTAATAAGATTATAAACTAAGTAGATTAGTTAATCACAAGATCATCTAAGTAACATATTCTAAAATAGATAATAACTTATATATAAGTTTAGAAAAGAAATAAAATTAAACCTAAACGATCCTTAATAAAAATAAATATAAAATTAGTTTGTTAATAGAATAAGTTAGTATTATACATAATGAATTAAAAATATTAAAGAGTTTAAATAGAATATGTACAAGTAAATCAGATATAATACCTAATAGATAATCTTAAAATAGAACCTTTAAATAAACAATAACTAAGTTGTAAATGTGACTAGTTGTGCTCTTACTAACTACGTATAAATATATCTTAAGTAATGTTAACAAATAAAGACAATGTAACCTAGTGGTTAACACTTATTTAAAAAAAAGTGTTATCAAAATTTAATTTAATGATTGAAAAATAATAAAAATAATGAAATAACAAATAACTTTGATTTATATGCAATGCTATCATTAAAAAATTTTTTAAAAATTCTAATAATCCTATATTTGTAAGAATTTAAAAATATATGAATTTTCTAAATTTTGTAATTTCATTAAAAATTATATTTATTTTATAATTATTTATTAGCAGTAAGTTAAAAATCTTTTTACAAATTATATTTAAAAACATATAAAAAGATATTAGAATTAATAAAAAAATCAAAGTTTATTTATTATCTAATAAAATTTTAAAAGAAATTTATTAATAAATTAAAAAAATATAAAAACAAAGAAATAAGATAAAAAAAACAACCACTTCAAAAAGTTTAACTACAATTATTTGGGTCAGATATTGTATCAACTTTTTTTAAGCAATCATTTAATTAAATTAGTTTTAATTTACAATTATATGTTAACATTGTACTATAATAAAAATTGCATACAACTAATATTATCACTATTACTATAATGCAATAATCTATTGTTACATAAAAAAAATTATATATAATAAATTTTTATATGTATAATACCATATATAGTTTTGTTTTACTTAGTTAACCAAATACCCTAATTGTTCTACCTGTGTACTTAGTTGGAATAGAATTCTAAATGTAACTTAAGTGCGGATCTTTTTTTTATTACCTACTTTTTTCTTATTTGACTTTTTATTCTTTGCAATAATACTTTCGACTCGATAACCGAATCTCAAGATCATCTATTTTTTTTACCTCCTAATGCATTTGAAGAATTGCTTTCAAATATCTTAGCAACAAATAGCTAATAGATGTTGTAAACCTTTATAACACGTGAAGACCTTCGATTTTGAATTAAGAATTTATGGGATCCAGTAAATACAAACATGACAATCAAAAAATACTCCTCTACAGGACCTCGAAATGTCGAAGAATGACACATGTAGACTTGATGCAACTCCGGCATTATTAGAATTACGTATAATGGTAATAAATTACTTCCACAGGATCCTGATAAGTTCCCGGGATTAGATAATAAAATCGAGTCTATATATAGCGAACCTTTTTACAACGAACTCAAATTTTGAAATTTCATAATAGTTCGATATAAAAAAGGTGCGATAAGTTCTTAAGAAAATATAGTAATTTTCTATAACGTACTTTTTTTTCTTCCAAAGGCTTTTAGTTAATTCATTACAGAAAGAATTGGCCGTATCCTTTCAACGCTTATAAGCGTTCGGGCAGTGTTTATTAGGCAATCCTCACAAGTAGATAATATTAAATGTAATTGCAAAATATGTGAGACATAAATCATTATAAATGTAAATAAAATGAAAGTACTCTGTGAGAGTAGTTGCCATCTCACTAATCACGGATATTAAAACATCATGTAATGCTTCTAAATTTAATTAATTGGCAATGTGTTGCGTTATGAATAAACGCTATCTAAAAGTGGCTTAAATTCCAAAACAACGTACTCGATAAAATAATTTGGGATACACTTAATTTACTGTAAAACTGAATTGTAATTCTTTAACGACTTGGACACGTTTTAAAATCCTATTATGTTTATTTGAATCAATCCAAGTGGACTCTAAATCTATAATAATTTCATTCTGATGCACGATGTATATACCTGTAAACTGGTGATGTTGAATAATCATAGATCCATTTATTTGACTTGGTTGAGTTTTTTCAAAATCGAAAAATTAAATACATAATAAACAAACACATTTGAAATTACTCAAAATCTAAAATGAACCAGTTTAGGGCTTTTTAAAAAAATATATTCAGAGTTAAAGATAATATATAATGTATTTTTTTATATAAATTTACTAAACAAGTTTTAACATGCCAGGGCATTTGGACAGTGATATCAAAATACACAACGCTAGTTATGAATATAGATTTATATGTGTTTAAGTTCAATTCCATGGTTCAGTTAAACCATCTCGACAAAAATCTATCAACTTTCGAGATGTGCATCTAGCGTGGAATGCTGGTGTCATAGTAAGTTATTTATATTACTTACGTGAGAATTAATAGAATAACAACAGGTTTCGCTCGAGATGTATATCTCTAAACTATTATCACATGATTACATAAAGGGTATGACACTAAAATATTGACATGAGTTTTATGAATTCATTTTTTAGGTGTTTAAAAGCTTTTTTCACAATATTAATAATCATAGTAATGGATTTTAAAGTACTCACCCTATCGGAATCTCCACGCTACCTATCGGAGCACGAATGGCTTTCATGACCTCTTGAGTGCTAATGGGTTTTGAAGTGTACTTATTATGGTCTGAATGTTTTTGCGCCATCTTATCATTTTCTAAGATTTGCTTTTCATCATCTAAGAATTGATTTTTGATAATTCTTTTATTACTCTTAAGCGCAAGTTCTTCGATCCAAGCAGTAATTATCGCATTAATATATATAGCAGTCGGTCTTTCTTCCGGATATGATTCCATACATTGCTTAGCTAATTCAACGTAACATTCGGGAGTCCCAGGTGCGAATTCTGGTCGCAACCCACCACAAATTCTTAATGCTAGATCATTATTAAATTCATAAACATCGAAAACTTTTTCACCTGTTGATATTTCCCACATAATTATACCAAATGAATAGATATCAGCTGCTTGTGTATATGGTTGACTTGATAAAACCTCTGGTGCAACATAAGGTAAAATTCCAATAATTTCGTTGTCGTTTTTAGCAGGAGATGTAAGACCTAAGTCCGTGATATACGCATTATCTAAATCGTCTTGTAAGATGTTACCACTATGCAAATCTTTGTGAATATATCCTTGTGAATGAATAGCTTCAAGATCAGATGTTATACAACTTAATAAATTTAATTTTTGTTTCCATTTCATTTGTGATACTTCGCGAAGATTATTACGTAAAGAACCTTTAGCCGCATGTTGTAGAATAAGAATGTAATTCCCTGAATTATCTCTTGATAGCCCGTAGCACTTTAGGAATGATGGATTTTTATACCCGATCTCACAAAGCGCTTTCAACTTTTTTAAAAAAATGGTAATCATAAATTTAAACGTTAAACAAACTTGATAAATTTACCTCATCAAAAAAACCCTGATCTCGGATTATTTTAAATGCGAATAAATATATATTGTAGAAATTCTTATAATAAATTCTGTAATTAGCACGATAAACGGTTGCGAAACCTCCTTTTCCAATTTCTTTAATATCTTCGAGTTTATCATATGGAATCCATAATAATTGATATTTCTCATCATTCAATATTTTTTTAATATTGTCATCAATACCAGAATAAGGAACTTTCTCTATCTCTGTTTAAATTAAATTATTAAAATAAAGTAATAAAAAAAGGAATAATCTGCAAGATAATTACCATGAAACTTGTTTCTTTCCCTATTTTTAAATTATTAATATTACTTAATATTTTTTATACGAGAATTAAGAAAAACAGCTTACATTTTAAACCAATAATCAGCTTCTTTTAAGTTCTTTTTTGTTCCGATTCCGTTTCGATAACAATAACCAATGAGTTTCATTGCTTCAACGTGACCCATTTCAGCTGATTTCAGATACAACTCAAAGGCCTTTTTCAAATTTATTTCAACTCCAGCTCCATTTTTATAACAGTTTCCAAGATTACATGTTCCTGTCCTGTGTTCCATATTATCAACTTTCTGAAAATAAATAAATGCCTTATGTTCATCCTTTTCAACCCCAATTCCATGTTGATAACAATGTCCAACACTATTTATTCCCATAGCGTCACCCATCTCAGCAGATTGTTGATAATAAATGAATGCCTTATGTTCATTCTTTTCAACACCAATTCCATTTTGATAACAACATCCAACATTATATGTTCCAGTGATGTTCCCAATCTCCGCAGATTTTTGATAATAAATGAATGCCTTATGTTCATCCTTTTCAACTCCAATCCCATTTCGATAACAATATCCAAC